GACAATGGTATATACCCTTTAATGGTTGGGCTTCCACCAGGGGATCATACCAATCATAGGCCATAGATTTTTTCTTGGGAAACGACACGTCACAAGATGCTTTCAGGTGGGAACCATATGCTCTTCAAGTTGGCCTTGCGCTTACAGATCCTCACTGGATGTGTGCAGCTTGGCGGATTTTGAATGATAAAATAATATAAATCATGATGGCTGGTCAACAGAATCCCCTGGTTGATGGTGAGGTGCTGTTAATCTGTTGATGTTAGTTGTTGGGATTTGGATTGCACTATTTTGGTTTCGGATTTTTTCGAACTCAATGTACGTGGGAGCGGCCTATGCACCTGTATAAATTGAACCCTGGTCAAAGGTGATACATCAAGTGCTGCGCAACCCTCACTTGAGGATCTTTGCCCCTTGCTGTGGGGTTGGTGTACCAGAACGGAATGCTAACCAGCATGGTTCGACTTGTTTATCCACTGCTGCCTGGAAAGTACATCCATGTCATAGATTCTCAGCCATACATCAAATGTATTCAAATGTCGTAAAACTTACTGGTGCTATAAACCTAGCGACGTAGGGAATGGATGGGAAATGGGGGAAAGACCCAATCCATCACTATTTTCACAATCATCGCATTCCCCCATTCCCTACAGGACCAACACTGCGAAGGGGAACTGAGGTTTACCTTGGATTTCTATGGATTCGTCAAAACGTTTGCAATAAAATGTGGTTCATGTTTACAGATATTAACCAACAAAAACAGTAGTAATACGTCGTTTTACCGAGAATCTTTAAAAAAGGCCGTGACTTGTTTCAAAGATCACTGCAACGAGCTGAGCACAGCGCTGCATCCAAGGTCGGTGGGTATGATGATTTGGGGTTGGATTGAGTGGTCCAAAACGGAAGAAGTGCCCTGCGTCGGCAACGATGACATCAATCCTCGCACGCTGGCTTTGGCTCTTTGGCTGAAAAAGATCCACAAGAATTGAAGTGCAAGACACCTTGACTATGATTGGCTGAGGTTTCTTCAAATGCAAAACCCTATGATCGTCCAAATTGGCGGTTTTTGATGGGGAAACCAATGGTTTTAGGGTGCCTGATTTCAAGAACCCCCCACAAACACATGAGCTCGACGAATTGGGTACATTGTGTCCATTGCCGTTCAACTTGCGCTGGCTGTTGATTTGATGATGGGCTTCTCCAGAAGTTGGGACCGTGTTGTTTTTGTGACGTCACCCGCTCCCATGGTTCGAGGTGTTCTTGATTCTGGGTTCCATTGGCGCTCCCAGTGTGCTTGCTGGAGCTCTGTACCGCGGACTCTGTGGAGATGTGTGCCTTGGTAGCTACGGCTCATATGAACGTAGCACCAATCAAACTATAATGGCATCACAAAAAATGCATACATTGTCATACATGGTATAATAGATATTATACGTATTATATATTAATATATGTAGTATGAGAGAGAGAGTCTGAGAGAGTAACTTTGCGTTACATATCTGAGATGTCTGATGATTTGTGTTTCATGTTTTTTTTTTCAGATTCCCTTTGTGTCCATGTGCCTTTTCCTTTTTCCAGAGCCACCCAGGAACATGCGAAAGGTCAAGGAGCCAGAAGGTCCATGAAGGTCCCCTTCAGTGGGTGATGGGATATCAATGCTGAGTTCAACCTGAAAAACGATGGACGACAAACTGGGGAAGAATTCGGACCTCCAGATTCTTCACTGTACTTTACTGAGGATCTGTGAAAACACAGATGATTGAAATCATTGAAGTCCCCATGAAGAAAAACAAATTCCCCGAAGGCCTTCTGCAGGGAAAGAACATGACAGCCTATGAAAAGGTATGAAAGAATTAGCCAACATTCCTGCAGATGATACCGCATCGAAGAGACTAGAGATTAGACATACTGTGGACGGTTGTGAAAGCCTGCGCCAGTTGGTAGATGGTCTATCCCATCATAATCCCATTCTTGTCTCGGTGTCCCATTGGAATCCCAATAGTTACCTCTGCAGGATGGCCGGCTTGTTCATCCCTAGTACGCTACAGCCAAACCGAGGCGTTTGAGAGGTCACTGAGCGGTACAATTCAGCTGGACCATCAAATTGCCACCTTTTAAAAAGATGGGTCTGGCAGCAGCGAACTGGTAACCCGATGGCCAATCTAGGTCAATGATTTACCAAATAACCATCGTGTTTTGGGGTCTGGTAGTAGATGGTTAGAATATTCAGACAATTTATGTTGGTTTAGTCCATGTTCAAGTGGTATCCTTGGAAAGTCTCTACTTTGTGGTCAATCTAAGCACACATAATCCAAGATTTACGAGTTGCACACCCCTCACCTTGCAGACTGCCAGATATCATTGATGGTATCGGATGGTCCTCTCGGCTTTTTGGTTGGCGACTGCGCCTGAAGGCAATGTTTGTTGCCACCCGTTTTTTTGCACGTCTTGATGTTGTCCTGCGCCACCTTCCCGCTTTGAAAAAAGGCATTCGGAAGATTGCGATGCCTGCGGGTGTTTTCAATCATGGAATGCCAGTGGAATGTTGTGTTTCTTTGCATTGTCTTGTTGGCAGAGTCTAGGACTTCCCATATAGAATAGCTATTCCCAGTTGAACGGTTGATCTCAAGATAAATCACTGGTTGGGATGCAAGCTCCAATTGCCCCAGTCTTGCGAAGTGGTGGATCTATGTATGTCACTAATCAATCATTCAAGGTGGTGGCACATTCAATGGGGAAACACCATTCAAAACAACATGTTTAACCTGCAAAAAATGGAGGCACTTTAGCCATCAAAGTGAATCTGGATGAGATCTGGGGCAGGCCATTCAATTGCGGGGGACCAACTGGTGCAGGGCACGTTGATCCCAAATAACGCTTGCAGCTCAATTGGCAATGTCAAGCAGAACTGCTAGGAAAGAGGCAAGAAGTTGGAAAAGACAGCGCCAATGTGGTGGGGCAAACAATTGAAAACCCACATAAAATCACAAAATCACCAAAGTGATCTGTTTAGCAGGGAAATTCTACAAGGGTCCCTTGCATGTTTCGAAATTTGTGAACCTGCCAAGCCGCACATCAAGTTGGACCCCCCAGGTATATAAGCACTCCATTGTTAAGCTATATATTTCTAGCAAAATCTTACCCATATTCCAAGGCTGTTCATATTCCATGCCCAAATAGCTCCGGAAATTTGGAAAATAATGAACGACCTTTGATGATGAGAATAAGGTTGTGTGACCCTTGTCAGGCGCTCCCTTGTCACGTGCTGTCATGTCCAGTCGCACATGTTTAACCCCGCTGAGAACCTTCTCAAGCAATGATTTCTTGAATAAACATAATCGTAAAGTCTTGTTTCTCTCATCAATTATCAGCTTCTCTAGGATCTTTTAAAACCATTGGATAAGCTGTTCAGCTTATTTTTTGACGCGTTTGGCTGGCGGCTCAGCTTCCGCATCTGTAAACGGGGCCAAATCTGGATTACGCTGTTCTTCCTCGAACCCAAATGGTACCATATTTCCACTTAATACAGTTACATTGAGTAGGATGCCACCCCTGGAGTACGATGCCCCCCTCGTATGCGTTGCCGTTCCTGCATGTGGGCTTCTCAGGCATATGTTAATATCATTTTTGATCAACTCGAGGCTGCAAATTCCATTCCACATACCCACAAGGCATCACACTCTATCGCGCACGACTAAGACAACAATCGAGAATTTCCATAGCCTCCACGGGTCAAAAGTATCAAAATTTCATGGAATGCGATTGTATGCGCGACTGTTCAAAACGCTGGAAAAACAACAATTTCCCCCATATTCCATATTATCAGATTCCAGAGCATTTTACCTCCGAAGAGGAAAAAAAAATAAAAAAAGCTCTTCAGGTCAATTTTTCGAAAAAAAATGTTTTTGGCTGTCTGCGCAAGTTTTTCTGGTGTACGATCCCTTTTGTGGAGTACGATGATCTGTGAGTAGGTGTGTGGAGTGCGATGGGGTCCTCTGGGGTGCGATGACACCCCTCGAGTGCGATGCGACATGAGTATGCGCGGCCGGAAATCCCCTGAGAGAAGGATTCTGGGCCACAATTCCCCAAATTCAACAGAGCGGGCGGATGCTGGTTGTTGTAATTTAACAGGATTTCAGCCCACTCAACAAACAAGTCAAACAATATGTTGAAACCCTCTCCTTCTTCAGTCTCCAAAATGGGAAACTCACTTATCAGGACACGCTTTAGCTCATCCAGGCTCCATAGCATTTCAGGAACAACACAAGGCATCGACATGGTGCCAAACAATTTCCAAATTGAGCTGAAAGGTCTTCCCATCTCAACCAGTCAATTCACAGGTGTGAAACATGTCATACACAGGGAAACAGGTTGGGAAAACAGTGGGTCCAAAGAGACAGGTCTGGAGTACGATGGATTCATAGTATATGTACATTTTCTGAATTTGGGTAACTTGGAGCTAGAATATTGCAAACAAAATTCTTTATTCTCAACTTCATTGGGGTTTGTCTAATAATTGAGTATTCCGAAAAATCCAACAAAGAATCATCATCTGGTTGGTGGCTTGGAACATGTTGTTATTTTTCCATATATTGGGAATTTCATCATCCCAACTGACTTTCACATTTTTCAGAGGGGTGGCGAAAAACCACCAACCAGGAGGTTGTTTCCCCATCTTCAGACCCATTGAAATTGCAATCGAATGCTGTGACATGCTGTGGCCAAGAAGGGCTCAGACCCCACGACCCGGATTTCTTTTCAGAGGAGGGTTGTAAAGTTTGTTACGAAGCATATTTATTACTGTTGTACTCTCAGTCATCAGGATCGAATGCAATATATTTACTTGCAAGGTTGCTGATGCATAGGCTGTTTCGATGTTCTTGAATCCCAAGAAATGGATCACAACGCCAGACATAGCGAAGAGATGCCAAGAGTGTGGTGAGTGGTACACCAGATTAGGTTGGAAGAACACCTTCTGAATGCTGGTCACTTGGGCTAAG